ATTTTCTTGACAAAAGCGTGAATTCATCAGCTGAAATAATTTCTACCTCCAGAGCAGTATTAGTCTTTTGTTCTGTAATCACTTCTGTTAATAAATTCATTCTCAAAAATGAGTTTAGAAAAAGTATACACAATAAAGCAAACATGCAAACATAAAGCAAACATGCTATTAAAATCTAAAGAATGACTTCTGAGAAAGGTGAAAAGATAAAAACCTCTCTAATTGTTGAAGGAAAGCGATTTTTAGGTTCATCAAGTAATCAAACAGGATTTGGTGATCTACCTCCCACCTAAGTATTTCAGTACTTTTGTTTACCGCTTAGATAATTATTTTCGATTCTCAATCTGTAAATTTTTTACTTCATTTTGGAAAAGGAAAAATAGGCATTGAAAGTGGTGGATACCTAACATCCAGTATTTTTATCTTTCTTCACAAAATATTTGCAAAAATACTAATAAAATATAAAACACTAAACACGCGGTCTCAATGTTTTCTCTAGGCTTAGAAACATTTAATCCTTCTGGTAATTTGTCACTGTTTTTAATTGTGGTTTGCCATTATTTTTGAAGTAATCCCTCCAATTGCATAAACACCAAAACAATTGTAAGTAGTAGTACTTTATTTACGTCGCAATAGAGCGACACAATGGGCTATTGATGCCAGTCAACTTGCGTGAGAGAATTTTACAGTAGAGCAGTAAGACGAGAGTCGATACCGCGCATCCTCGTTCCCTTTGCAAGTTGATTAAAGACCACAGCCAGTGATGCTTGACTTCTACTGGGAACCGCGTCTTAACAATCAAGTTCACAGCGGAACAAAACGATTGCTAGAAACCACAACCGAACTGTTATAAAACGTTATATTATATGGGACTGATCTGTAACAAGATGATATTAATAACCATAAATTTCTCGTCATATGACGAACAAATACAACTCGTGAACATTATTCAAAAGTTAAGAAATAAATTTGTGAGGAAATTAAAATACCTCAAATTACGGTATTTATAGCATTGCTCAAAGTGAGTTGGAAGAAAAAAAAAAGACATAGCGCTGAATAACTCTATTTTTTATGATCGGATTATTTAGCGTAGAGTTTCGAAAAAATATAATTTCTCTATAATATATACAATAATCACGTTGCAGACACGACTAAATAATAAAAACTATTCATTACACTACTAAAAGATGCTTATTTCAAAACAATGAAATAAAAAAAAACATTTAACTATTTACTGGGGAAAAAATAAAAATTTATTTGTTATTTGAAATTATGCTTCGTGAACGGATAGGTTCGGAATTTTGTAGAAATTTTAAAATAATTACTTTTAGTTTAGAAGTAATATTTCCTTTAAAACCGTAAAGTGAATAACTAAATAACCATTAAATATTTTAAATTATCCATTTAAAAAACAGAAAATCAATAAAAATAAATAAACGCTACCAACTTGTAGGGTAGCTGAAAAAGACATTACAAAGTGATAGTAAAACAACAATTATAGTTGAAAATATTTTCTAAATATTAAAAACATTTTAGAGCTAAAACTTATATCACATGTTTTTAATTACACTGCAGAACAGTTTAAAGAGGATTGATTCCGTGCACCTTCGGTACCTTCGCAAACTGATCAAAGTGGTCACCCAAGCGCTCACTGACTGCTACCAGTGATACTTGACGTCGGCGATCCATCCTTGTGAACTGTGGGAATATGTGAATGAATAAAGAAATAAATGTAAAGGTCGAAGTGGTCGGTCCCAGACTGTGACAGAGAAGGTCTCCGATTCATGTTACTAAGTCTCGCAAAAATCTAAGCACACACAAAACGAAAAGACAAGAACTTAATCTAGAATGACAAGCAGGAAAACAAAATTGCATGCTATGTATTTGAACAAATGTGGCCTGTGGTGTAGTGTTCTTCCTTCAAACTTTTTAAAATTGTGGTGGGAATCTGGCATTCACACTTCTGAGCGTTTAATGAAAGGCTCCTCATTTACATCAAATTTTGACCGCAAATTTTTTCACAGATTCAGCTTTCATAAATAACTGCTGTAATTCTTCTGTTGGAATTGACTAAGGTTTTGAACAACGATAACGAAGGCACAAAAGTTTGAGAAGAGATGCTATTGTAGGATAAATAATCTGTTTAGTAGTTATTAGGGCGCTTTTTCATTACACGACACGATAACGACAAAACGGATCCGATTGTCGGCGAACGACATAGGGTCAAGTAAAATACATGGTCAGCAACGGAGCGCTTTTTCACTCACCGATACGATAACGATCCGACAAGACGCAGACTGATCCAAGTGGTCACCCACCCGCACACTGACCGCAGCCAATGATACTTGACTTCGGTGATCTGCTGGGAACCGTGTCTTAATGATTAGTAATGACTTCTGCAGAGGATCAAAATTGCGATGGCATGTCTTTGGATTATCCTCAGGAATGTTTCACAAACCGTAGCCAATAGCCCATCGTGCAGCTCTAGTGCGAAGCAAATAACCTTATCTAACTATCAATAAAATAAAATAATAAATATATTACAATTTCATCATTTTAAAAAAATAGATTTTTAAGATTTTTCTTTCTATTTGTTTACAAAGTGATTGTCAATGTATACGGAGATTTAAATTACAATGAAAAATAATATAAAGTTTGGAAGTTCGATTCAAGTAAGCTTTTGTGTAGTTTTATGACGCATAAATAGCTTGTTATTGTAGATTTTGTTTCATGGAAATAGAAAGAAATTCTCAGCATGACAGACTAGTTACAATCGATCAGACGTTCGGTTTCTCCATCTTTTAAGATCTCATTCCTCCGAATCAATCCATCTGGTGCTATACTACATTGAGCACAATATTTAATACGCACAATATTTAAAATAACTAAAAAAATGAATAAGTTTAATTAACTGAGGATCAAACAAATACATATTTTTTCGTATTAATGTATTTATTTTTATTTAGCTATATATTAAGTAAATTCGCATTATCTGTAATTATTTAAAGCTTGAGTCTCAGGAGATTAAATGTGAGCAGAAGGAAGATTTCAAATCAGGCAGGAAATTAAATTTGAGCGAAAATTCAATTTTGGATCCTAATTTTAAAAAAAAAGACAAGAAGTTAAATGTGGGCGAAAGCTAAATTTTCAGAGCTAATTTAAAAAAAAAGAGACAATACACTATAAAAAACACATTAAAATATTTCTTATTGGCAAAACTTAATAAAAATTAATGATTTGGAATAAAAGTTTCAAAAATACTCAGATTAGAGTCATGATTTCCATAAAAAAAAAAAACTATTATTTTTCTTAGAAAGCACAGCATTTAACGGCTTCAAGAAAAGAACTTTGAATCTAGGTGTAGAAGAAACGCTGTGAAAGATTTCAACAAACATTCTTCGGGGCAAGAAAGCAAAGATTCTATTTTCAAACTACAATAAAATGACGATAATAAAAAAGAAGAAATGGCAAAAAAATGCGAGAAAATCGTCTGGTGGAAGTACTAATGACGTCATAAAACGGTAACATCTACAGAGACACATACTGGGTAAAAGTAGTAACTTCAAATTGATCTCAGAACAGCTGAAAGATGGGAAGACGTTGACCGGGAAAAGTACCTCCGATGTTCTATAATAAAGATTTGCTTCTCATTTCATTCTTTTTAAGGGGTGGAAGGAGTATTCAAGTCGTTTTGAGGCTATAAAAAAGGGATATTGTTTGCTTTAATTCGACGAATGGTAATTTATTGGGTTGTTTTACAAATAACTTCGTCTTAAAAATCGCCAGAAAATGAAAACTAAGTTGACTTAATAACGTGTTCATAACTTAAATATGATGAAATGTAAATTTTGAGAAAGTGCGTTTTTCAATTAGAATAAAGAAAAAAATTATTCTATTTTTCCGAAAAGAAAAAAAAACATAAGACGAATCATTTGGATTTTCAATCGAAAGAGAAGTTTCTTACGAAAATGAAAAGCACATGTTTTAGGCCTAACAATAATATAATTATTTTCTACTTAATATCGTAGGGGTATTTTTAAAATATTTACTTCTTTTTGTTACTAGGTGAATACTCTTTCTCTGTTCTGTGTAAAACAAAAAAAGATGAATAAATCAGCACTAAGCAATTATTAGCATGAAAGGCAAGCCATAGTAGAAAAACTAAAATAGATCCAATATTATTATTTATTGATAGTTCTAGTTACTTACGTTACTAGATTAAACAAAACACTTTTATCAAAACTCAACTTATCATAATAAACATAAACTACACTGAATACAATTTAGCAGCGAATATGATGCTCGAGGCCCACTCAAGCTTTTTTAAAATTAACAACAATTAACCGACTTTATCCACTGATTTTGAACAGTAAGAAATAACTTAATTTTCTTTTTTTTAAATTTAAATTGGATACTTGCTGCTAGAAAAGAAGTGAAGTGATTATTCCTAATCATGGGATTTAAATCAGATTTAATTGGTTACCTGTGATCAACGTCATACGTGTGTCTCGAACTTAATTGGCTTCTCAATCGACAAATGTCCCATTTACCTAAGACTCCTATTCTATCAGAGCTGACCTATCAAGCAATATTGGAGCAAACAAGTTCGCAAGTTAACGTTATGTTAGTATTAATTATGTTATGCGCTTATGTTAGCTCTTTGCTCCAAAAATAAATGATAAGTCGGTCTGTCTAATTCTGGCTAACTGGGGCTTGAAGCGTAATGAATGGTTTGAAGAACAGAAACATTAAATAATTATAATTTACATTTATTTACAATTTATACATGACTAGTTTAGTTTAAATGCGGCATCAAATATTTAAGATGCGAATAAGAAAATATATAATAATAGAACAACATTAAAAAGCAATTCTAAAAAGTAGGAATTAAAGTTGTAGTTAAAACAAACTTAAAGTTATTAAATAATTATAAAAACAATTAATGCAGAATATGATGTGTGATGTCACGTCGCTTCATTACTTCCCTTCCAGTGAGAACCTCATTCGAACGAATCGAGAAATTTAGATGGAGCTTTAATAGGTCTCCCAACACGTGAAGTCTTGTTAAAAAAAGATTTCTTAGGCGGTTCGTCAGAAAATGTCACTCTTTTCTTCTTGATATTTGAAGCAGCAATTTTTGGAAGGACTGAAGGTGTGCCGACTGTTGGCATTGAACTGAAGGAAGAGGCGTTGTTCTTCAAGTCTGCAGACTGTTCTATGAAGCATGGTTTTAAACGATTAATAGAGATATTTCGAGATTTTTCCTTTATTGATAGTGTGTAGTAATCTTTACTTCTGGAAAGTACTTTAAAAGGTCCTTCATATGGGGGTTGAAGTGGTGGACGAACGGCGTCAGTTCGTACGAATACATGAGAAGTAGTGTTAAGATCTTTCGTCACAAAAATGGGAGATTTTCCATGTCGTGAAGGTGGAGCAGGCCTAACTTGAGAGAAATATTTCGTTAGTTGACCAGCGAAAGTAGAAATGTCAGTAGATGCTTGTGTCTCATGAAGAAAATCACTAGGTAATCTTATATTTGAGCCATAAACCAATTTCGATGGAGTTGTTTGGAATTCTTCTCTGAAAGTGGAGCGTAGCCCCAGTAGTACAGTAGGTAGAACTTTCGTCCACTGAGGATTATTATGGCACATGATGCTATTTTTCAGAGTTCGATGCCATCGCGCTATAAACCCATTGCAAGCAGGATTGTAAGATGTAGTTCTCCTTCACTTGATTCCCAAGAGATGGGCAAGTTCGGTGAAAAGAGACGACTCGAGCTGACTTCCTTGATCTGTAATTATTATTGACGGTGTTCCAAAGCGAGAAATCCAACCACTATAAATTGCTTCAGCAACGGTGTTAGCTTTAATATCAGGCACCGGTAAGGCTTCTGGCCAGCGAGTAAACCTGTCTATTAAGGTTACACAATATCTTTGTCCTTCGGAAGTTATCAAAGGTCCAATTNGCCAACGATGGCCTAATTAGTTTTCCGATTTTTCGAAATCAGCAACAAATGAACAGGGTTTAGTGCATCTGGTTGACTTTTTACCAAAACGACGATGATACCAACAAATACCTTCTCTAGATTTTGATCGGTTCCTATAATTGGAACTTCGGCGATTTAAATGGTTCCTATTTCTAGAGGTACTGCGTGATCTTCGCAGCTCGCGAACTTCTTTAGAAAGTTCATTAATTTTGTCTAATATTGTTGATAAAGTCAGACTTTCTGATTTAGTCGCTCCTGGATTTGTATTGGCAGAAAATTCGCCAACGCACTGGTACCTGCCGCAAGTTTCTAAAATTTTATCGCCCATTTCAGCCAGTTTATCAAGAGCTTCAGTGCTGACAGCTAAAATGGCTTGAACTTGCTGCGGCAATTGTTGTAACCAAAGTGGTTTTAAGACATTGTCATTTACTTTACCAATCGCCAAATTTCGCATTTCGCGTAGCAATTGACTAGGGCGCTTATCGCCAAGGTCTAGTTCGGAGAAGAGCATTTTTAGTTGAACACTTTCGGAATCACTCAAACGAGCAATAAGTGCTTCTATAATTGCGGTATATTGAGTTTCTTCGGGAGGTGATAAAACTATATCACTTACCGTATTCAAAATTTTCTGTTCCAAGGCAGCAACGGTGATGTTGTACTTTGTAATTTCAGCCGAAACATTACTATTCTTAAATTGAGCTTCAATATGCGCAAACCATAATTTCGGAGTTTCATTCCAAAAAGGAGGAGGTTTTACTGAGACGCCTTCAATATATTTAGAAGTACTTGGATTATCGAGCTCTGTATGTCCAGTAATAGGCATAGCTTTTTCAAAGGTTGCAATTGAGTTATCAAAATCACGTCCGGGTCACCAGTGAAGCGTAATGAATGGTTTGAAGAACAGAAACATTAAATAATTATAATTTACATTTATTTACAATTTATACATGACTAGTTTAGCTTAAATGCGGCATCAAATATTTAAGATGCGAATAAGAAAAGATATAATAATAGAACAACATTAAAAAGCAATTCTAAAAAGTAGGAATTAAAGTTGTAGTTAAAACAAACTTAAAGTTATTAAATAATTATAAAAACAATTAATGCAGAATATGATGTGTGATGTCACGTCGCTTCAGGCTCTACATTTACCTTCGATGACGTCACTTGTAGGTATCCATATTGTTTATGAATATTGTTGTAAATAAAATCAACGCGTGGTTTCAGATATTTATCAAACTTTCAATGCGTCTCCTTACATCGGTTTTGCGCATGCTTGCCAGACAAAATCTATCAAATTATTAAAAAACTTGAAATAAACTTTCCGTGAATCTCAGTTTTGATCAAACAGAGATGTCATAAACATCACTGTTGTTATGTTTTAAATATTTTAATTAACAAAATCGTCAGAAACTCACAAATTGGGTTCCACTGAAGTATTACAGGAGTTCCTCAAAATTATTTAATTTTTAAAACTCAATTTCAACAAATTTTGATTTTTATTTTGCTGTTTTGAGTTTTCATTAAAAAATAAAAAACGCTTAATGATTTAGAAGTCATTTTATGATTACATTTTTTTTTAAATATATATCCAAGTAAAATCCTAGAATAGCCAACTTCTTGGCGCATTTTTGATATATCGCCAAGTTGGTGATTATTACTGGGATCAACGTTCCTTTTTGATTATTTAAAAAAACTTAAATTATTTACAAATTTGTTAAAATATTTTTAATAGAATAAAAAATAGAATAATTATTATAAATAGAATAAAAATAATAAGGTACCGTACAAAAAAAAATTGAAAAATTATGTAAAAACGGTAATAAATGAAATAACTGTTAAAAAATGAAATGGTAACGATGATTCTAACAGCAGGAGATCAGAAGCATAAATGGCAAAAAAATAAACCCTTTTTACCTCTAACGAAATCCAACTTTCGCGTAGGTATACATATAAAATAACCAATCAGGTTTGAGACCAATAAAATAACCAATCAGGTTTGGTTGTGATTCGTTAGTGGTTGTTCAAAATAATCTCCCCGATACGTCTTCCGAAAACCTAGTTTGGCGAGATTTAAAAAGCTTGTTGGCGAGATTTAAAAAGCTTGTTGGCGAGATTTTAAAAAGTCGCCACGGGTAGAGCCATTCTAGGGTCCACCCTATATCCATTTTTCAACAAACATTTGCAGGTAATTTTCATTACATTTTACTTATTTATTCTTTATTCACTCAAATATGTAAATCTACAACCGATAATAGTTTATTTCTCATTTGTAAAACATATAGACTGCTGCATTATTAAGTAGTAGTGCATACCATAAATAGTATGCAGCATAATTCTAATAAATAATTCTCAGGTACTTTAACTTGCTACTTATTAAATTTTAAGGAAAGCAAAAGATCTAAATTAGGTTTATTGCATCCGGAAATTCATTATTTGAACTTAAACTGTTTGACATAGGATTGATATTCAGAGGTGAAATATTTTTAAAACAAAATACTAAATATCTTATTGCAATGTAGTAATTATAAAATTTTAATCTTTATGGTAATACCGGAGACGGAACACGCGGCTAAAATTTAAAACACGGAAGGATTCCATTTCATTAGCAATAAATTTAACAATTTAATAATTTTTTCGTAAATTAACGTATTACGATCGCCAAGGCTGAAAAACATTTATATAAAATACATTTTGAGGATTCCTTTTGCATAAAAAACTAAAAATATAGATTAGAAAATTTCGCTAGTTTTAATTTTCTTTAACTGATTACTGCTTTTAATGGGTCAAGATTTTTTCAATTTCAGATGCTCCGAAAAAGGATAATCAAGTTACCGATAACGTTAAATAAAATTAGCCTGGTCATAATTAAAAATAGCTCTTTTCTGGAATTATTAATGAGAAACGATGACATAATTATTTCAGGTGACAAAAAATATAAAATGCAAACAAAAGTTTTATTTCCTTTATAAAAACTTTATGAGGCAGAAACAAACATTTTCAACTAAAGATGCACCTCTGACTAATATTGATAAGAGTTTTATTGTGATGATGCGCCACAAAATTTATAACCCACCATTCGTTTAGCGGACATTGACATGAGATACACACCAACTTTGTTGTTTGCACTAAATCACCAAAGGAGGAAGAAAAAAATGGCGACCGTCTTGGTCCAGCAGCCGTAAAATTCTGTAAGTCAGCCTATCGTAAACAATAAGAGATACACTATAGTCCCTTAAGGCCAACCATATTAAAGACTAATGGCCAATCTTATTCTTAGATCGTTCTGGTGTAAGTCCGGACTAGAACTTTGTTTTTCAGTGGGAAATGGGTTTAATATATAATCGCATGTTCTTTGATAAATTTTGTGAAAAACTACTCTGTTTAAAGCAGCAAGGTTATGAAATTTTTTGAAGGTTATTTTTTTCAGTGGTAATTAAATAAAAGAAAATTTTTTAGTTGAAAGCAAGGTTATTTTAAAACTTTTTCTTACATTCAAAACCGCATAATTCTTATCATCAAAACATTTACTATAGAGGAAATTCTACCGTTTAAGAAGGTTATATTAGCAGACTTTAAAATATCTTTTTCACATATTTTCAGTTAAAAAAAAAGCTGTTCTAATAATTTTTTGTTAATAGAATTTACAACTACAAAAATTAAAAATTGGCTGTTACGGACGTAATATACTATGCTACGGCTAAAGCACCTTGTCTTTAACGTCAGCATTTTTTTAAACTTATAAAAGTTAAGAATAGAGGACAAAAAGAACGAATGCAAGTAAGAACAAATGACCTCAAGAGTTGTTTTAGCAGAGATCATTGGAACTGCAAGATTAACGGAGTTTTTATATAGTCTGCAAAAATGGCATTCATTAATGGTGGAATTGCTCTATAGTATTAAACATATTATGTAATATTACTATGGTAATAGTTTTAAAATCTTTTTTTCGTGCATGTTTAAATTGATTATAATTCGGTTAAAATAAATTTCAATCAAATTTATTTACAATCTAATGATCTGCCGTGTGTTTCGCTATCGCTGAGAAATATCCACTACGAAAAGCGCAAAATTTGGGCGTCATATATTCTCATTAATAATGTTTCACTCTTGCATTGACGGGCTCTTACAATGACTCTAGATGTGTTGTACCGTATTGACCACCCTTATCATTTCATCATTAATGATTGTCATTATCATTATTGGATGATTCTTATAAGGATATTCATGGTTATCATCTTTTATTATTATCATGATTGATGATTATCATATATTGAAAATTATCATTATTGATGAAAATTATCATTATTGATGATGATTATTATTATTGGTAATTATCATTATGTATGATTATGTATGATTATTATTATTTTTCATGATTATACATAATGATAATCATCAACAATGATAATTATCATTTATGATTATTATAATTATTGATGATTATAACTATTGATAACTATCATTTTACCCTTAATTTTATAAAAAAGTAAAAGCAAAAAAGACTTCAAACTAACATGAAAGGCAGAAAAAAACTCATATAGAAAATTTTTGATTAAACTACTCCATTTTTTATAGTAATTCATAATAAACTATTTAACTTTTTTGAGAAAAAGTATGGTTAACATAATTCTAGGCTCAGTGTTATTAAAGATATATTTGATACTGAAATTCTTTAATAAGAAAACAAAATCATTGTATCGAGCAACATTATCAGAACCCATATTCAAACATTTCGCAGATAACATTGAGAAGCTGTTTCAATTTTAGCTCATTCATTGGTGTCACGAGTTTAAAACATAAATCAACCCCTGACGTAATCCACTTACCTCCACAAACCTTCCAGCGTGTAACGATTTATTCGCAATTTATGACCTCAGTTGGACAGCGTTTAACAGAAATAGATCAACAGAACATCAAAGATTTTGGCTGTCTTAAAAATCCCTTTGGCGAATCCACCTCTTTATTTTTTAGTGCCAAAAAGCATCAAAAATCTTCTGAAAGCATTTAAAAAGGATCTAAGAGAAGCCCGAACTGTCGTAAATTGAGAATGATCTTCCACGTAATTCCCCAAGGTTGTGGAAAGTACTTTTTTCTTTCTCATTGAAAAAAAAAAATAAAGCTGGACGTAGTTATGAACGGACCAATAGATTCTTATTCTTTTGTTCGACACTTGACGGTTATTTTTACTTTTTTCCATATTTTCGTTCTCGAATTTGAGATGGCTATTTTGGTGGAAATATTACCTGCAGGCGAAAAATAAATAGTGAAAAAAGAAATTTACCTTTTATAATTGGTGCACATTTTGTTTTGTTGGCTGGAGTTATGCTTCGAGCAGATTCTAGGGTTAAGTCGATAATCAAATGACAAAATTGAGACATGAAAGCGAAATATGTATTTCACGCTAATATTTAAGAGGTCGTCTCTAAACTTAATCGTTTTATCTCTAAAACTTATTGAAGATCGTTGTTTTATAAATTAAAAAGTAAATGCTTTTTTGATGACATTTACATTGTTATCAATATGACAATAGCCAGTTTCGATTACATTTTTCTGAATTATAATCGTTATTATTGAATAACAGACGATAGTTTCCTTTTTGTATCTTAGTAGAAATACCTTTTTCTTTAAAATTCTAAAAAATTGTGATGAACGTTTTGAAAACAGTAATGAATGTTCTTGAGAAAAAAAAATTAAAAAATAAGCTTTATCCAACAATTTATTTTTTTCATACTATTAGAAGATTAAATTCTTAACTTTCTGTGGTAGTTTACAGATTAAATTCGTGATTTGAAACGGGAACTATTTAATTACTATTTTAGT